CGCGCGCGTGCGCGCCTGCTCCCCGCCCCCGTCACGCCCGCCCCCCAGCCCTGCCTGAGGAGCAGAAGCCGAGGCGCCGAGGCGTTCGCGCAGTCACGCTGCCGCGCTTTCTGCTCCCAGGTCCTGCGCAGCCGGGGTTGTGTCAGCTCCCGGGACTTCCAGCGGCTCCGGGAAGAGGTGACGTCTCCCCCGCCCCCGAGGCGGGCCGACCGGCCGGGGGGCTCCCAGCCGCCTCTCTCCGATCCCCGGGACTTCTCAAGTCCTCCTCCCCAGCTTCATTCCCGGGCCCTGCCACCAGAGGAGGGAGAAGTAGCCTGCATTTCGCCCTTTTTAACACTTGTGAGATAGGTGTGGCCATCACCCCATTTGGGGCCCAGAGGCTCAAGAAGGGGCGTCTGTCCCTGGCTCAGGCCTGTCCCAGCGGGTGGAGTAGAGACCCTCACCAGGCTGCCCACCACGGTTTCTCCCTGCCCCTATCTCTAATGTAGACTGGTGCCAGAGCTGCTGCCATTGTCCTGCTCCCCCACCTGGGGCTACTGGTGGGACTTAACCATGACCCTCTTCCTCCTGAGTGGCCCAGCTGATTGAGGGAGCCAGGAGCTCTTGCTCCACATGCCTGGCCCAGGCTGGACCCTTCCCGCTGTCCCCTACCAGCTAACAGCTCAGTGCCTGTGCTTGACCTTGGAGAGGTTCAAGAGTGTAGGCAGGGTTGGCTTCTACCCTGGGTCCCTCGTTGGCCTTGGGCCTCAGCTTTTCCATCTTTACAATGGCTTTTGGAGATAAGCGGCCCTGCTTAGTAACCCGACCCCGTGTCACTCTAGCTTGAACAGGAGGTAGAGCGTCGGAGGCAGCTGGGGCAGAAGTCAGCTGCCAGGAGAGCCCTCATTGCAAGCTCCTACCACCCAGCCCGGCCTGAGATCTACAGCTCACTGCAGGTACCCAGCTGCCAGCTTGGGGGCTGGCTCCTGGGAGGAGGTGCTGGCACTCAGGTGTGTTCTGCCATAGGATGCAGCTCTGGCCCCTGAGTTTCTGGCTGCAAGCGAATACAGCGTATCACCAGGCGCAGACCTCAAGGGCCTTCTTCAGCGGCTGGAGACAGTGTCCGGTGAGCATTGGCCTCTGGTTTGGCAGGACTTGGGGGCAGCAGTCTGTGACATCTGGGAATGGGAGACCAGGGTCCCTTCAGTCATCTCTGCCTTCAGAAACTGAACTACTGGCAGGAGCTGGGAGGGCCAGGAGCAGGGCAGTGAAGGCCCTGTTATCACTGCTGTACAAATGAGCAAACTATGAGACTGGGGCAGTTAAACCATGCCAGCTTCTTCACAACGAGCTCCCAGCCTGTTCTCCATGTGTCCGTCCATCCATCCAGAGGAGAAGCGCATCTACCGAGTGCCTGTGTTCACAGCATCCTTCTGCCAGGCCCTGCTGGAGGAACTGGAGCATTTCGAGCAGTCAGACATGCCTAAGGGGAGGCCTAACACCATGAACAACTATGGGGTGAGTGGGGAGGCCTGGCCCACCTGCTTGAGGGTGGGAGCAGCTGGCTGGCTTGTGCTCAAGGGCTACAGGGAGCTTCGTGCCCTATTTGCTGTGAGGCCCGTGTGCGGACGATACAGAGCACTTCAGCATCCAGGGATGCAGGCGAGGCCTGGCAGTCTCCCTACTGGGCCTGGGTGTCTCCTCCCAGATGCTGATGAGTGAACTAGGTCTGGACGAGCCACTGGTGACGCCACTTCGAGAGCGCTTCCTGCAACCGCTGATGGCCCTGCTGTTCCCAGAGTATGGCGGGGGCTGTCTGGACAGTCATCGCGCCTTCGTGGTCAAATATGCACTCGGCCAGGACCTTGAGCTGGGCTGCCACTACGATAATGCTGAGCTTACCCTTAACGTGTCCCTAGGCAAGGCCTTCACAGGGGGCGCCCTGTACTTTGGGGGTCTCTTCCAGGTGAGTATGAGATTTGTGGGGCAAGGCCTGGGGCTGCCAGGAGTTCCCAGGCCTGAGCCCCACTCTCTGCAGGTACCTACAGGGCTGACGCAACCCCTGGAGGTGGAGCACATGGTGGGCCAGGGTGTGTTGCATCGGGGTGGTCAGCTCCATGGGGCCCGGCCCCTGAGGACTGGTGAACGCTGGAACCTGGTCGTCTGGCTTCGAGCCTCTGCTGTGCGCAACCACCTCTGCCCCATGTGCTGCCAGAAGCCTGATCTGGTGGACGATGAGGGCTTTGGCGATGGTTTCACTCGGGATGAGCCCCCCACGGTGGATGTGTGCGCGCTGACCTGAGCCTGTGCACCAAGAGGTGGTGTCAGGGCAAGCGAGGGCTCTGCCTTCTTGAGAGAAATAAACGGAAGGCACAGGCTGCTTGGGTCAGAAGGCGTGCTGGCTTCCGAGTCCGTCTTTCCGCACGTAAGCTGCTTTAGTGCAAGTTTGCTGGCAGCACAGCCTGGTGTGGGTTCTTGGAGTCTAGCAGTGGAGTCGAAGATGTGGCTCCAAACAATGCTGTTCAGCCTCAGCCTGACAGGCGGCTCTGATGGAATTCCTACCACAGCCAGCCCCAGGATGGGGCAGGGCAGGGCAGGGCGGGCTCAGCACTTCCTAGAGGTCTACTTCTAGGGTGTGGGTGGAGCGCAGGAGCTAAGTTCAAGTCCAGCTTCTGCCACATCCAACTCTTTCTGTGAGCCTCGGGACTCTCCCGCGCCTTGCGTGGTCTTGTGAGAATCCAGTGAGTTGGCAGTTACAAAGCGCTCTATAACAAATAACAGCCCGTGTGCTGCTCTCCTTCCCGGAGAGACGAGCGGGCAGCTCCAAGACTGGAAGAGGTGAGCGCACAGCCATGCTTTGCGATTTCCACCCTGAAACCCTGAGCGCGGCGTCTCCGGGAAAGCTGGCCGGTGCCACTCTCCGGCCCCCACGCCGCTCTGGACCGGCCTGTGGTCCGCTCCTTCACCCCGGCGAGAAGGCCCAGGGCGGCTCGGCGCGGAGAGCAGCGAGCCAGAGGGACGCATTATCCGGAGACGCGTGGTCCAAGCGCGACTCCGCAGAGCGGTCCTGGGAGCGGGCAGGGCTGCGGGCATGGGGTCGGCCCGGCTCCGAGCCCGGGTCTGGAAGCGTCGGAACTCCCGGCAGCATCGCCCTAAGTCACGCCGGAAGCCGCCCTCCCGCCCGGGAAGGCGCTGTGGGTTGGCGGTCCAGCCAGATGGGCCGCAGCCCCGGCGTGGCCGGGCCGAGTGCGCAGGCGTGGAGCGGAGGACTCCCTGGCGGCCGGGCCGAGTGCGCAGGCGTGGAGCGGAGG